CTCTTTCAAGTAGAATGTGAAAGCAATATAAATCTCTTTGGCAGTAAGTTCATAATGGAGAAAGTATTTTCCTATGTCTAGTAGCTATTTAACTCCTTCCTGCCAAGGATATTGCCTTTAAAATTTCCATTGTGAGGCTCTACTAAGTAACACGGGCGAATATGCCCTACATAGGTGTGACTCATCCCTTAACCCCCCCTGGAAGGGGCTGCAGTTAGAACATGACAACCAGTTTCTTTGTTTTTACTCGATATAGGAATGTGATGGCAAAGTTGAGGTCTTTTTCTTTTTCTTTTTTTCTTTTTTTTTTTCTCCCTCTGAACTATGCAAAAAAAGTAAACACTGGGCCACATCTACCATTCAGCTACACTGGTGGCTTCATGACATGTGACATTTCAGCGTACACAGCAGGATATGACCTTTTCTTTTCCTGGGGAAACGCAGTGCTGCATTTTTAGGACCTTGCTGGTTGCTAATCCTCTATTTCCATATGGTCAAGCTGCACACAGTAGTAGTGCAGTATTGTTTGAACTGCTGGGGAAGCAAAGGTTTTCTGTCATTTCTAAACTCTAATAAGTACCGAACTTTTTAAGAGCACAGTACTGGAGGTAGCTATGACCGATACTGTTTTCTGTTGGAAAAGGGACCTGTAATTGTGGGCGTTCCAGCAGCAGTAGTTTTCATTTGCTTTGTTAGGAAGTGGAGCTTCTTGCCTTAAAATGGAAAACCATAAAAATGCAGATTAGCACTGCTTTCTGGAAAAAAAGAGTTGAAAGCAACTGCCAAAAGCATTAAAGCAAATGCAGCCAGTACTAGAGCAGCTTTTGCAGGCAGAAGGCACTACGTGCTGCACAGCACTATGCAGACAGGCAGTGAAAGGAGAGCTGCTGCCTTATGTAAGGCTAGAGACAGTCATGTACAACAAATTATATGGGAACTTTGTTAGCCTTTGTTAGGCTTTTTGGTTACAGTGGGATTCAGGATATGTAGGGATAACAGGCAGTTTTCTGTGCTATACTAGAGCCTATGCTATTATCCATCACCTGTAGTGATGCAGCCAGGGTAAGTGAAACTGCTGGAGACTCTGACTAAAGCAACTAGGGCCTCTCCTGCACATGCCACTTGGCAAGAGGAGGGTATGTAGCACCCCAGACAAAGAATCCTCTGATGCACTTTGGTCTTGACATGAACCAAACAGCTGATTCCACTTGCAGTATTCAAGTTTTCTGGTGTAGATGAGCTGTGGGTGTTGCTGAGGAAAGATGTGTGCAGCCACATGTGCACAAGAGTCAAGTGTAGCTGGAAGCGCAGTATCTGCCTCCTCTTTTTTACCTCTTAAAGATCACCCCTAACGTTTATCCCTTTGTGCCAGGGTGGAATTTTACCCCATACGTAGCCTTATTGACAGCTACATGAGTACAGACTTTGCCACTGTTCGCTTTACTAGTCATAATAGCAGCACTGCCAAAATAAGCCAGACTTTTCAAAATATAGAAAGGATTCATTAATTCCACTTAAAAAAAAAAAAAAAACACTGATGTGAAAGTCTTTAGTTTCTCAATTATCACTTCTAATGATGATTATTTCCTGATGATTCAAGAGGAAAAAAAGTGCAGAAATTGGGGACATTCAAAAGCAATTAATAAAGTATCTTGCTAACTACCGTGACTTGTAATAGTAAGGATTTCTGCCTTCTGTTACATCAGTAAATTACTCCTTGTGAAAGATTACGTGTGTCTCTGAAAACAGTATTTTTCCAACAGCAGTGACTACTGAAGTAGTTGCAAATTAGTGTGATAGAAGTCTCCCCAAAAGACCAAGAACTTTGCTTTTCTTGTTCAACTTTCTCTCTCTGCTGACAGTCCCCAAATCACACCAGTTAGTCTGCTAAGACAAGATGAGCACCAACTAAAGTGGCAGTTTGATATGTTGGTCGTCTGGAAGTCAGGGGGTCACCGAAGCACTAACCCAACAGCACTACAAAGTTTGTGAGAGATTCTGTAGCTGCGTCTTGTGATATTATGGTTGCAGGTGATAAAGAAAAAGGAAAAACACTCTGCTTATGCTCATTCTTCATGAACAGCCTCAGTTTTCCAGCATCTGTCAAAAGCCTGTACTTAAAAAGGCCACATGCCACAAGGCAGAGCAGAAAATGCTGCTGTGATCATACAGCAAATGTGGTAGCCTTGGCTGATTCCCGAGTGCTCAAAAGGCAGGTATGGAGAAATGAAAAGTACAGTTGTGTTATCTTGTGGTAGAGCCTTGTTCTCAAGCTATACTGCTTCCAGGATCAAGCTATGATATTTCTACTAGTTAAATGACTTAGAAAATTATCAGCACAAACAACAACTTTGTGAAATGAAGTTATAACCTGAACTTGAAACTTGTTCATACAACTATTTTAAATAGAAGTTTTCCCTTGGATTAAATTTCTGTCTTGTGTTACTACTACTTATTCCACAGATTTATAAGAAACATAGGCCGCTCACAGGCTACTTATCTTATGTGTTATTAAAGCACTGTTTAAGCTCTTAAAAAAAAAAAAAAAAAAAAAAAAAAAAAAAAAAAAATCCCTGACAACATGGGACTTTCAATTTGCTTTGGAATGTTCCATTTAATTTTACATGGAGTAAAATTATTTCAAGCTCCTGCAGATTTGAAGTTTGCTACATGTACTATGCAGCCAAGAAATTCTCCCATCCTTTACTAAAACTACTTAATGTATGCAAGATATAGTTTATTAATCTGATTTTAGCAACAACTATAGTGGAATGAAAACATTCCACAACTTTCATCTTTTACTATCTGATTCTTGCTCACCTTTTCATAGCTCTTTTTCAGGCGATATTCCCTGTTAGACTTAACCATGGACATATTACAGGAGGCTTTATAATGTGGCAAGCCCAGGATGTTTCCATTAGGATCATGAGCAATACATGCAGAAACAGTTACTATCTGTGTTTTAAGGAACAGATCCTTTGCACAGGGGGCCAGGTGCTTCTGCCAAGTGCAGTTATTCCCATTAGTCTGTGAGGGAGGTGTGACAGGCCAAGCCAGTGTTTGAAGCTGTGAATTTTTTGCTTCTAACAGCCTGTCAGCTGGCAAAACTTATCCAGAGTAATGACAAAGTTGAAATAAACCACAGCAAAATACT